CATTTTATTTAAATATATTATAAATGTCTCAATTAAAATAAAACAATAATGTTTACTATTACGAATTGCTCATTTTTCAACTTTTCATTGAAAAATCATCATCTATCATAGAATCGAATCATTTATCTATACACATTATTGAAATTATTTAATAAAAATTTTTCTTATTTCTAACAAAATTACTAAAAAAAATGTATATCCATATTTTATTTGAAACTATACTTATAAATTCTAAGGTTATTAGATAGCTTGCAACAATTACATGAAATATTATCGGTGCAATCATTTAAAATTCAATATCCAATACTGATACTTCAAGTTCTTAAATAAATGTAGATTATATAAATATAAAAAATGATTCTGCAACTTTTAAAAAGACCGTTTGAATATTTTGTTTCTATCATATTATTAGATTTTCTACCTATGATGTAAATACTTTCTCTGGCCTCACATTTAGATTACAATAAAAATTTGAATTTTTTTAAAAAAAAAAAAAAATGGAATAATAGCATTTGTATGCAAACACCAATATGTAATAATTAAATTTTATGAATTATATCAAATATTAATATATTTAGAAGCAAAAATTCTGGTAATTTATTATTAAGGAAAAGTATATACAAAAAAAGCACATCCCAAATCTTCGTAACTTCTAAATTAATATCTAAATAATATAATTTTACAAATATTTGTTTATCCAATTTATTCTGTTATTCGACAATTTTAAATAAAACAATCGTTAAAATTGAAGTAGATATCGTTAAAATATATATTATATATTATATAATACTATAGAATGTAAGCATTAATCCTTCGTTAATAGCATTAATACTTTACTTGTAGATAAAAGTCAGTGATGAATATAACACATTTTTCTAAGAATAATAGAATTCTTTTATATATTACATTTTTTAAACTAAATTTTTATATTTTATAAATACATCTATAATCATATAAATGTAGATTATAAAAATTACGTTATTCATAATACATAATCTTTTTAGGTGAAAATAAAGTAAAGCCATCGTTAAACTAAATTTTATTATATATAAATAAATTATATTGAAGTAAAATCTTTAGATGAGACTTAATAATTGTCAATATATAAATATTTCAATCTTTAATATAATAAACTTTTTTTTCTAACCATCAATAATAATTTTCTTGTAATTATTACAAAAAATTTAGTATTATAGACCTTAGTATTTAATTTTTAACTTTGCTTAAATAAACAATATTTTTCAAATATATTCTTTAAAATATTTAAAAATTTTTAATTACATGTTGTAATGCAATACTATCTTGTACTAAAATTATCACAAAAATTGAACAATTGTATACGATAATCATATAACGAAATGATTTTTATATTTAATATGGTGCTTTTATTAAAAAAGCATCAAACTTTTTACATTCATACTAAGAAAAATATAAGTATTTTCATGCTTTAAAATACTGCTGTTCTGAAGGTTTACTATAAAAACGGAGAAGTACTGAATACCCAAAAAATAGTTCTGTCACCGAACAGTGAAGAGCTCAAAAGTATGCCATTTTATATGCCATAAGTATGTATATTTTTGTCTTATTGGTGGATGAATATAAAATGGAGATGATAAAACTTTTTTTCATTGTTGAATCACAATGAAAAGCAGATATTCCATTTGTTTTCTTTTAGATACAGTTAAAGTTATCCCCAACTAAAGACAATTATTGCCAGTAAGGGTGTTCGCGATGCTAAAATATATTCCCTGGAAGATAACAAATAATACATTTAATAATGAATATTTTTGCCTTAATGAAATGAAAAATTTTTAAATGATTGAAATGTTGTGAACTGAGTAAGATATGTAAATTAACTTTGTATAAAAGTTAAATAAAACTTTAATAATAGTAATAAGTACGAGTAATTTTTTCCTTAAATTATATTAATGCTTATATAAATCTGAATTTTTGCATATAATTATAAAAGTCTTATTTAAACATGTTAATATCTAAATACGTATGAAATGTAAAATATTAATTATTATCTTGTTTGGGAAAAATAGAAATATTAAAAAAATGGAATAGAAGTAATATTTTTATATTTGTCCGTTCTTAATTTAATTTTCCATTATTTATTGATTTCCGGATTCTCGTTTTTTCATTCTGCTTCGACAGGTATTAATAGACTATGTAAATAGGTTCTATCCATAATATTATTTGATTCCTTGCTGCCTTTACAGAGATTTCTGACGACTGTCATTTACACTGTACAATTACTAAAGCACTATTTGAAATTTTTTGTCGCGTATCATTTAAACATCGCTAAATTATTATTTTAATTAAATTAAAATGGTTCTGCTTGTTCGTTTAAAATAATTTTAAAATTAAGTTAAATTTAAACAAATGTGAGAGAATAAGTAAAATGGAACTTTTCCTTAATGCAATGTTAAAAGAATTTTTCTAATCTTTACAAAAATATCATTTAGTATACAAAATAAATAAACTATTACACTAACTATGTAATTTGAAATTAAGAGTAAATACAATTCTTAATTTTTTTTATAATTTACTATAAATAATTCAAAAAATTAGTTTATATAGTGTGAATATTAGATTACACAATATAAACTTAAGATTTAGCAAATAAAAAAATTAACCGAAAAACATACGTTAAATGAATTATACAATCCAGATTGTAAAATCACATACATAAACTAGTTTTAAAGTATATAATTCAATTAACTCTCATATTATTACTCATTAATACAATAATAATTGAACATTAAAATACATTAAAATTAATTACATTAATACTCACGAAAAAATGCGAAGTGTAATTTTAAAAATATCTCATATTAATAAAAAATTTTTTAAAAACTGATTAAATCTCTATGATCTATACCATCTCCAACAACTTGAAAGTACATACAATCTTAATAAAAATTTATTTAAATCATTTACTTTTCTTAAAATGTAATAAGTAAACAGTAATCAATTAAAACAAATTAATTCATATATATTTTCGATAATTTTATTTACTTAAGTTTGTTAATACATTATCTTTTATCATTGATACAATTCGTTAATTCACAAGTACTTTACCTGTAAAACATTTCGTTAATAGATTTTACTTAATAATATGCATTGGATATGTTTTTAATAAATATTGTTAATATTTAAAGCAAATTAGTATTAATATGTATTAAAAAGTGTATTGAAATACATAAATCATAATTAATTAGAAAATATATCATGTTAAATTAGAAATTTATTAAAATATTAAGAGTGGCAAACAAAATGTGACTCAAACATTTCATTTTTAAGTGATTTTAGTTTTAAGTATCTTATTAAATACAACAGTATAATTATAAATTTGCCTGAATAAGAATAATTTAATTCATTTACTTTTTTGGATTTTATTATAATACTTGGAATTCTTCAAAATGTAACAAAATTAACAAGATCGATATTTACTCCTTACTAATTACTGATTTACTAATTAAAAATACTAAAAGAAAATATATATTATAATTTGAATATATGTACTGAAATATAATTAGAAACAAAAAACAGATCTAAAATAACTTAAAGTAGGTGTACTTAAATATGATCATATATAGACTCATAATTATATTCATTTTATGAAATAATTTTAAAAAATTAAAAAATGTTTTCGTTTTATATTTTAAAGATTATAATCATTTTGTCATGCTTTCTATTATATTTTATATGTAATATATTCGAACTTGATATTCATTACATATTCTATTTTTATATTCAAGACCAAATTTTGCTTTCTACTTTTTTAATATATATTATTGAGTTTAATTATTTATATTAAGAAACTCAGATTAAGAAATGACAATTTTATAAAAATTGACCTTATTTCAATCATTAGAAAATATAACGTTTATTAATAAAAACATTAAAAACTTCCAAATTAAATGACGTTTTCGTATTAACTTACTTTAATATAATATAATATATTATTTAACCATTTAGTAAAATATTATCTCTATATTTAAAGTTTCAATATTATTCATTAGAGAGAGAGAGAGAGAGAGAGATACAGGAATTAAATAGCCAAATAATTTTAATACAGAATTCCAATCATATGAGAAGAATATTGGATTACAAAAGTTCATTTACGGTGGAAGATGCTTTCGATGTAGTGTAAGCGCAAAGGGCTAAGCACTTTACTTGATTCTATGAATATACACGAATTGAATTGATTCTTAATGCATAACATAACCCAACATTATATAAGATTTATTATCTATTATTATTATCTATTATTATAAGACTTACAGTGCATTAAAAATTTTCGTTTTAATGGTATATTTATTAATCAAAATACTTTTTAAATAAGGAAAAAAATGTTCGCAGCGCGAAGAGTTGTGTAAATATTAAGTTCAACATTGTATAAATAGTTAAGTCAATATAAACATATATACACGTATGTAGTCAATGCTTGACTACAATTTGAAATTAAATTTTTACATAAGAAACACGTTCGATGTTTTTTAAAGTTAATACTCTTGTAAAATAAGTAAAAAATTAAATAAATAAATAAATATATATATATATTATATATTTTCAATTACTTTTAAATGGTTAAAAAATCTATAATTTACCGGACAACCCTTTTTTATCAAATAATTTTAATTATGTAGCAGAATTCGACCGATTGTAATAAAAATACATAAAAATTATCGACATAATATTTGTTATTTGTATTTAAATACTTCGTAATGGCCATTTTTTAATGCATTTTAGAGCTTTATAAAGGTCCGTTATTCAGTAAAAGCATAACAAAATACATTCATCAATTGAAGAAACGAAAAATTATTAATTTAAATATATGGTAAAAAACAATAAATGGACGATGTAAATAACAAATATGTAAAAATATTCTATTTGACGATTAACATCTTGTTATTATATATTAAATATTGTTTTTATATAAAGAAGATTTATATAAAAATAATATTATTTAATAAGTAATATATTAACAGCGTATGTGCGCAGTTGCTCATTGAATTTATATTAACTTTAACTAGACTCTGTATCGGAAATTGTGACCCAAATTTCGAGCTTTTTAGCATATGAACCAGCAAAACGGAAACTTTGTATAGCTCAATCTTCGCGAGGTCCACTGCCACTTTCACCACCACTAGTCAACCGGAAGTAGTCGGGATGTAGTCGAAGATTCAGTGCCACTGGAGCCACAGCGCTCAGCCAGCTTACGAGTTTGTTAGTACTGGAAATACACGAAGACTTGATGATTTAATGGATTTATTTTTGCACGTACTATAATCTTTCATTATCTTTGTTGTATTTTATGGGAGATCCAAAGTTGAAAATTCAGCTTATGCACATGTTATTATACTTTTCGTAATTTAACTTTTAAATAATGCGTATGAATATGAATTTACCAGCAACCCTTGATAATTAATATTACTACATCTAATAATATTATTTTAATTTCAAAACATAACTACTCTATAATTTCCATAAATAGTATAGACAAACTAATACTCAAATATTCATTTAATATGTAGAAAAATATTAACTTGTTATTGTTTACTTAGAATTACTTTGAAGTAATTAGTATGTTACAATTTGACAAAGAATAACTAAAATAACCTGCTTAGTCGGTAGTTTTTACAATAAAAGCCTTATTTTATAAGCATATTTAGAAACGTATAACGTAATGTATTATTAAATTACTTATAATACTATTCAAATTTCAACTACAATGAATTTTAATATTTTTTAAAAAATTATATTTTTCGAACGCATTAACAAGATTATTTATATTATTTATAAAACAGAGTAATTCATACATAATTAAATATTGGGACTTGTATTAGTAATTTTATAACTCCATCTAGCAATGCATTAAGAAAATTACGACACAGCGATTATAATTTTGCTTTCGTAAAGATCCAGTAGTATTATATACATAATATAAGTATTTTAATGAAAGATAAAAATTGGTAAGAATGAAAGAATGAAGGATATAAGAATAAAGCAACTTATCTTTTAGCAGAATTAAATAACTTTTCCTAAATATAATTCAGAGAATAAACTATTAAAATAAACAATATATAACTGAACATATTATTAAATAAATATCTATTATTAAAATAATTAACGTTCTTTGTAGTTAGTTTCAGTCTCTTATGTTTAATAATTATTTTTATCAGGTCTCTCAATTTCAAAATACTTCATTCAATATAAACGCAGGAACTTCAGACACAAAGTACAGAAAAACAAAATGTAATTAAAAAGAGATAATTATAGCGTATCCCGAAAATATAATAGTATAATATAATAATAAAATTAGATTTGTTATAAATTAGCTTTTTTACGATGCTTCCGAAGGTATATATATAAATACTATAGGTATCATGATAATAATTCTAGATCATGTATGACCTGCGCAACTCTTATGTTAAGGGCCTTCGAATGGCGGAAACATGCGTTTGCCTACCTTCTGCTCATGCTTCGAAGAAGATGTCGCGAGCCGCAAGGATGAAGATGCAGGTAAGGTCTACCCAGCAATGGATGCATCGCCTGCGACAACTCGGTGTAGGCCAGCCGGTTATTCGCCAGTAGCCTCTGGACAATCTCAACACTTACTGGATTCACGCCTGGATAATCTGATGCATGAAAAATAATCGTATTAATGCATTTGTGAGCTGAATGACAAACGATAGCTATTCCTATTGAAATGGAACTTGCGGAATTACGAAAATTATGTAGAGGGCGGAAGGTTATGAAAAGAATTGACTGAAATTATTCAAACTGTGTGAAGTCTATCGAGGGATCGTCGCTCAACATTTCATTGTATGATCTGAAAAATTATTAGGACACAAATGTATTATTGAGGAAATGATGTAATAAGCGTCGATGTAAAGCTGCTTTCATTTTGTAAATAATTATTTAGTAAATAGTAAATAATTGTATTACTGGATGATTAGATCTCAACTATATATTTTCAAATAGGTAACACATTCGAAAGAATATATATAACTTCAAATAATTAAGTATATTATACCATTCTTTAAATTGGCATTTTATGCTAAAATACTAATGCTATTAAAATGGTGCAACTATATGATTACTGTATGATTCATTTTACTACTTCTCTTTGTTTAATTCCTTAGAAATACAATGTTGTAACGATTTATTTAAATCCGAATGTACAATATCCAAACCGTTATATACTGTTAATTTATATAAAATCGAACTACAACAACATAGTTATATGAAACGATTTATACCTTCTTTTGTTAGAAATAATATGAAACTTGTCGATATTCAATAATAATCTTTATTTTGATAAATTTTCACTTCGCAAGCATGTAGACAAAACCTTGAAGCTATGATATTTTAACTGATGCAATACAGAGAGATTAATAAATGAAACCCAATAAACTAAAATATTAATGACTTTATTAATAAGAATTCAATATCAACCAAATGATTATGTCTGTATAGAAAATACATTTCAAGATTACATTCATTTTTAAAAATTAATTATACATTTATTCATAGCCAGCACGTAAAAAAAGTTTTGATGAATGCGTATAATCAAGTGCTAACTGTATGTATAAAATTTCCTTAAAAACATCTTAGAAACATCCATTACCATTTACTAAGAAAAATGCAGTCGATAAACTCTCTACAAATACATCATTTAGATGATAAGAAACCGAGTGTATCATTGATATTTATACTTCATATAATAAATAAAAATACTCGTGGCAGTTTCCAATGTTCTATCACATGTAACAACGCTCCGATTAAATCATTTTTAAAAATAAAATATTTTAAACAACTAGAAAGAAATAATAGGAAATTATTGCAATTATATCAAATATAAATCAAATACAATGGATGAACAATACTAAAAATAGACGAAAACAATACATTCATTTTGAATGAATTTGTATTACAAATTCTTTTATATTTTATAATTAGTAGTTTTTGCAGATTTATATTAATAGTTTCAAAAGAAATATAATTTGCCGATTAAAATATTAAATAGTTTCAAAACGAAAGCCCACGAACAAAAAAAAAATAGGTAAAATAAAAAGTGGATAAAATATGGCATTGAATACATAATTTCGAGAATATGGATAGAACTAATCTAAAAAAATTCTTTTTTTAGAAAAGAATTTTACATCATACATGCACTAAAAACTTGTATAATCATTCGTTTGAAAACATTGCTAATATTAGTCTTTTGTATCAATTTTCTTTATTTTAAGGTAAATTGAGATTTTTTACCAAAAATCTAATTTTTATAACTATTTTGTTTGATATTATAATAATGTTCATATAAATAAACACAATTCTAATACTTTAATTAAATAAAAAAGAATTCTTAATGCAATAATTTTAATAAAAGTTTCGAAATTCAACAATAATTCTTTATAAATATTAAATAGGAATAACTATTAACGAGATTCTAATTTGCATTTTTAACGGTATCGGTAATGTAATATTAAGCATAAAAATATGGTTTACGAATTAAGCTATGATCATAAAAAGGTGTTACGTAAAATAAAAATTTTCTATTAAAACTGTGTACGTAAGCATGATAGGATGAAGAGTATTTAATCAAAAAAATTCTTTTACTAAATGATCGATAAAGCAAACTATTAATGAATTGCCAACTATAATTATTAGATGATAAATATTAAAATTTAGCATGTAACTAATTCACAATGGTAATGAAATAATATTAAAACTATAATAATGAAGAGAAAAAATATCCTTTAAAAATTTTGCATTATCTAATGATATATAACAGTTGTAAATATATGTGATACTCTTTTGAAATTTAGTCATTCGATCGATCAAGGATTGAATATATAATTATACAATCATTAGTTACGTTCGTTATCATTCACTGTATTCCTTTAAGCTATGAAATTTCGAAAAAGAATCTTGCCATATTCAGTAGTGCGTGCAGCTCAGATATTTATGCTCGCACAATCTAGGAAACAATCATCTCAATCGATGCCTCTGTATCGTTCTAGATTAAGATCTAGTAGCGATCAACAAATGAAAATCACGATAGCGAATAACGATTTAACATTGTCTCGCTTTGAAAAATCCTACTAAAGCTTCTCTAAACTTTGTCATTATGAATATAAACTTATATTATTATAATTAAATTATTTATTCGTTTATGATAATTAATTTTAACTAGTGAATTCATATTGCGTTGTTTTCACATAAATTGGAAAACAATGTTTTAAACTGTTCTGTTTCTCTTTTCTTTTTTTTTAATTGAAATACCAATTTTTCATAAATTAAAATTCTTCATGTATAACTTTGGAGAGTTACGTGCTTATAAAATTTATTGACAAGAAAATAATGTAGTATATATTGATTTATAATTATACGCTTTAAACTGCAATCTAATAAAATCTTATCAATCCTCATTATGTTGCGTTAATAAAGAAATTTTTCTTCTTTACCAGCTGTGGTAAAATTGGCAAGAATCACACAGTACGTTACCACACTCTGTCGTTTACAATTGTAATTAATATGATAATACAGAGCCCTATATTATTAATTGCAACGTTCGCTTCTTCACTGAATAATCGGTTTTAGATGGAAATTCGTTTGAAATACGAGAATATTGAAGGCAAACAAAAGCAAAAATAAAATAAAACGATTCAATATATTAGGTTACAGTAGTAATTATCATCAAACTCACCGGATTTCCAGCCATTGAAATAAATCACCGGGACGGCATAACTCATCGACCACAATACATGATGCTCTGTGACCAATGGTCTTTCTTTGGCGCACGGAGCCTCGAATGGATCCATACATATGTCAAACTTTGTACTCCATTCATCAGCCTTGGAATCGACTATGTCTTCGACGTCCGATGATGAGTCATCATTTGTCAGATAATCAATAGGGACAAGCATCTTCTCTTGATGTAACAAATATGCTTGGCCAGGTATTTTCTATAAAAGAACGATCGAGTACAATTTTATTAACATATATTATCCTAAATATTTTCTTTAGACATTAGGAAAATGTCGCATTTGCAGAAATACAATCCATTAATTTTAATTGAATTTATCAGTTCGTTAAAAAAGCAGATGAGCTGCCGCGTGATATGGCGAATGTGTGCTATTAAATTAAATGTATTTGATAATCTTGGAGGAGTGCCGGGAACAGAGCCGGGAACAAAGCCGGTGAGACGCACCTTGTCCCCGAGGAAGAGCCAGTGGTCCGCCAAGCGGTCCGACACACTCACAAGTTCCTCGGCATTGGCCACGAACTCCTCCCACGTGATTGTATCGGGCCCTTCCATGATTGCGGGCACCGTCACCTATTAATATCGACAAGGGTCTCCTCGTCGGCGATGCTATTTTGTGTGGTTACGGAAGTGGCGGCGCCCTCAAAGATTATGGTATTTTGTAGAAGTTTGCGGCTTACCGACTGAGTTACGGTCTACGATATCCACCACTACATGATAGAGATATTTATTATTTGGAGCATCCAATCTCGTCAAAGTGTAAAGATTTACATTATGCCCGTAGAGCACAGGTATTCTATAATTCTCAATATATTCGCCTCAATAATCGATTATTCGTGGGATACTTAATAAAGAGCTGCGGTCTGCTTGTCAGCTGCGATAGTTTTCACTGTGTTTTTAATCTGCTAAAGACCACACGACACGTCCTCACATATCTATATTATCCTCGTATTTTTCTTATTAATAAGCGGTTTGATACTAATAGTGCGATTTAAATTTTAAAGATTTTTTAACATCGTAGTTGGTATTTATCAACTTATGTACAATCATTAATTTTTTTAAGTAAATTTTTTAATTTGCAAATTTCGACTCATCCAATCGCAGTAATACTACAAGTAAAATATTAAATTACAATAACAATTACCATTATCATTATTATTACTATTATTATTGTTATTCTTATTATTATTTTTGCTGCAGCAACTGTTACTGTTGTCATTAAATCCATATTGATTCTGTATTAATTAGCAATTGCAGTCTTGTTATGTAATAATTTGCGTTCAATAATAAAATAAAATTCAATATTTTACATCAATTTTGAGTATCTTACTTATTGGTTCGGAGGAGATCGAAACTCTAATTAATATAAAATAATAATGCATATATGTATAAATATATATATATATATATATATATATATATATATATATATATCGATTAATAATAGAAATAAAAAATTTAGGTATTATTGATCTCGAAGAATTTCTCAAATTTCCTTTACTTTAATTACAATTAACCGGATGCCGCCGCTACATAAATTATCCTACAAATGTATATTGTAATGATTTGTATTAATTAATTGACTTAATCAAAATTACTCCTAATGGGCATTAAGTTCCATTAAAATTATAACGTTAAGTCTAAATGAACGTTACCATTCGTCTATTAGTCGATTCCTATACACGCAGTGAAAAATATACGTACCATCTATAGAATTTCCAATTAATTGATAATAGTAAATTTACACAGCAACAAATGACAAAAGGTAATCTAAAGTCTCTTACAAAAATACATTACTAAATACATCGTTTCATTAGCCGCGCAAAATGGTTTTAATTGCAATGTCATTCGCTCTCTCCCCCGATGACTCCTCCTACTTTCTCTCTCTCTCTCTCTCTCTCTCTCTCTCGGACAAGCATAGAGGAAGTGTACGGTGCTCGACGAACTTTCCCTTCGGTTTCGTAAGTCGTACTCTCGGAGTAGAGCAACGACGGCATTGTCGGGTACAGGAGCGCGATATGCGCCTCCGTACGTCGATTCGACGAGATAAAATTGAAAAAAGGGGAAGCGGCACTGCCACGAGAACGGCACCTCTATTACTGCAACCGAAGGTTCCCCGCCTCCCAGCCCGCCATCCAGCCCCCGGCCAACAGCACACCTAAAAATTTCCCCACAGCCCGTGCCGATCGCGCGGACATTTCACTTCGGGCCACCTCGGCTCGCTTCGTAAATGCATAAACTTGCGTCCTGGCGGAGACGAAGAGGACACGACGAGTCGGATGCGTTCCGCCCAATGCGCGTCGTTGTTCGTATCTAAACCCTATGGACGTCTCGGAGGCTTACGTAAACAGCCGAGCACTGAATACATCTAGCCCAATATGCTGCTCGCCCTTAGAAAGCTCAATAATTACCAATTACACATCCGGGACGATAAGCCGCCACCGGAATGTCCTCTTGCGTACGAGTCAGGGCGAATTCACGTCGAGAAGTAACCTTAAGAAAGGTCATCCACCTGCTCCGACAAAAGGCCCGAGTGTTGTACATGCGCAGTACGTGCACCGACGCGGCCCGCCTTATTAATCTTGGATGCGCTTGGCGCATGAACCAGGGAATGAGAGGGAAACACAGTGTGTGGGCGAGGTAGGGGCGGGGTGAGGAAGGAGGAGAAGCTAGTTGTATAGGTAGAGTCGCACGCGCGAATATACCTTCCATCGATACTACGAGCTCCTCCCCACCACCGCGCTTTTATCTCCCCCTCGGCGGCTGCGAGAGTTAAGGTTAGGTCGTGCAGTGGCGGCGATACCGCAGGGACTCAGGCTATACATGTGCTTTATCTTCTGTTTCTTCCGCTTCTTTTTCGTCGTTTTATTATTCTTCATCTTGGTTTTATTTTATTTTTCTTCTTGCCACGATCAGCATTTCCACCGTTAAGTATCGCAAGAATAGCGAGGAGCTAAAGTTAACGATGGATACACTGATTCGAGCATTTCTTTACGAGTTTCGCTGGCTCGCACGCGTTTGCTTGCATAGACCATATTGGCCCATTATTCGATTATTTCTTCACCGTGCAATGCTAGAGATTGAGATTACTCGTTTACGCCGCCTGTCCCTGGCGAATTAGTTATCGAATAAAATTCAGCTGATTCCAGCAAGTTTCACTGACATGTCCAAGACGCCGACCACTCGCATATTTAAACAATAAATCCATCGGCTGATTTATTTGCTTGATTAGCTGAAATCGTAAGAACCGCCGCTTTGTTACCTAACCACCTTATGCGAGCGATTCGCCTATTAGAATTCATTTGAATGTGCCGCCACCGTTGCCGCCGCCACCACCACCACCATCACCACCTCATCTATGATCGTCCTTCAGTGCCCGCGTCACCGCTGCTACCCCTCCGCCGACGATGTTCTAGACTGTCAGACCTTGAAAATTTCCTATTCCATGCAATACCAAAAACTGCACGCTCTGCTCGCGTGTATTTTCAACGTGGCCGTTATTTTTATCTTCTTTATATTTAAAAATTTTGTTATTTCTAAAGTCGGCGCATGCCTACACTGTCCGCTACGTTGTCGGAGTACTTTGCAAAATAGGGCCGCCACGTAGCATTTTCAACTTTTTTCTTTTTCTTCGCATACAATAAATTTGAAATTATCCACTCTTCGTGTATTTTTTTTTCGTTTAGATGTATTTCGTTTAGAAGTTGTACGAATCGGATGATCTGCTGAGAAACGGGCATATTTTCGCAAAATGGATTGCAATCATATGAAACAGAAAGAACAAGACGAATATCATTCGAATTTTAACGGATCTCAGGTATGATAATTCAGTATGAGTGAAAAATGTTATAACAACGCAAAAATACGTCACACCAATGAATTAATAGGAGGATCATCTACGTGTATGATTTATCCATCAGTGGATAAATTATACTTTGCCTAGTAAAATTACTATTTGTTTGTATTGTATTTCTTATCGATCAACCAGGTTGAATATAAACTGGCGACCATTTGGTCATGGCAGGTGGAGGGGTCGCCGTTTGATCGAACACCGCATGGAAGTCCACGATATTACGTGATCCATGCAACGATGAATGTCGTCGCGATGGAAAGAAACTGTCGATGAATGCCCGAACTGGGTATAAATAACGTCTTGTGATGTAATGCAGTGCAATTTTCTATTATTAAACCGATGGAATGCCATGTATTTCGCATGAATTTCAAATCCCACATGTGATAATGAAGTTGAATTTTGACGGGATAATATTTCATGCTGCTACGATAGGATTTTCTTAAATGCTTACGCTTTAATATATTACTCTTGATTTTATAACACTGATCATTAATACTTATTATAATTAAATAAAATTGCAACAATTGTCTAAAAAATAATTATTTTTGTTAGAGAATAATAAAATAATAATTAATTATAATTGTTAGAAAAATAATTATTTTTATAAGAAAGTTCAACGTAATTAGTGAATATAAATTAATATAAAGATTATGAGGTATGAATTTGAAGATATGAAGATAAATGTCAAATTTATTCAATGTTTAAATTAATTTTATAAAAAATCCATAGAAAATTATCATACGAATAATTTATTTTATCAGTGTTCTTTGCATTTTAAATTATCGAAAATAGTTATTCGAACATGGGCTAAACAATTGTTTGTATAAACAAATGAATGCCGCATGTCATTAAAATTAAATTATTTTTATAATATTAATACCCATCGATTATCCTTAATTAATCAATATTTTTAAATATCTTTCTTCTTAACCTTCTTTTATAAATTTATAAATTTATAAATACCCCTTGCTATTAAGTATAGGTATTTTGTACTCAATTAAATAATGTGAATTATTTTAGCACCAGTAAGGAAGCTGTTGCTTATGGAAGTTGAAAGTCAATTTTTAAATTTTATATATTTTATACTAAAAATTTCTATTTCGTAACTAAAAGTTTCTATTTCTTACATTATTTACATTTATTTGCAATTGAAAGATCCATTAGGATGTTTTGATCTTCTGACATGTTATTCGGACAAATACAATTCTCGAATTACTATAAAAAAATATAATTGATTTAAATACTCGGTAACAAATTATATTTTCCTTTGCTCGTATAATGAAAATTTTGAATAAATTAATGAAAAGGAAAATATAATTTGTTACCAAGTATTTAAACCAAGAATCAATTATATATATTCTGTAGTAATTCGAGAATTGTATTTGTCCGAATAACATGTCAGAAGATCAAAAGATCCTAATGGAACGTTCAATTGCAAATAAATGTAAATAATGTAAGAAATAGAAACGCAAATTAATTTACTGTTAATATAACAGATTAATATATATTTTTTAATATTTTTAATATTTTTTATATTTAAAATATTTTTGGTTCATATTTTTCTCAGTTATTATTTTTAAATACTTTGTCGACTAACGGTAGCGCATATAGCATAAATCATTAATATTATAACTGATCCTTTATTATAGTGTAGATGCATTTTTGTCGGTAGTGAAAAAAAAATCTATTAGTCCTAATACAATGTTCTATTAATATTAAGTTTATATTAAAATAAATAAGTTCTATTAAAACAAAGTTAATAAAATATATAAATTTAATTTAATTTAAATTATCCTGTATGATTATAAATGTGCGTGTGTGTTTGCGCGTGCGCGCGCGTGCTTATGTGCATGTGTATGTTTTTATATATAAATATATATATCCAAAAATAATTTAAAATAAGAGAGCATACACTAAGTTTAAAATATGTACCAGTTTTTAATTTATATTTAAAATTTTATGTTTTTGCTAATATTGAATTTGTCTTTTAATAATAAATTTGTTTTTAGTGATTATTAATTAGTTACCGTAATGTGGAAAAATACGTCTTCAATTGTTCTGCAAATCATTCCTTTAACAAAGGATGTTTAAAAAGATGTATTATATAAATTAATTTGATCATGAGTTTCTTAATGTTACTTAAAGTATTTCAACATTATTTTTCATTGTAAAATTATTAAAAACTTAATAATTCATTACATAATTGGAAATAAGTTAAAATAATTAAACCAATGCATAGATTTGTAATTCTGCACCATTCATTGATTATATTAAATTACCATGACTGTTTTTGTAAATACGTAAGAAAATAAATATTAACTTAAATAATTTACATTTATTATGTAATGATATTTAATGACTATTATTTTTTCTCCTTTCAAATCTCATCAAAAAGCAGTTGGAATGGTTTCGTAAGTTGCACAGCGTATATCACATGATTTTGCTGAGAATCACAATGTAATAACCATTTCGAATAAAAAAGTATAAACAATTTTTACATTTATCAAAAGTTATTTAATTTTGTTAACAAAGATCTTTTGAAAGGACATTTGATGAAAAACATTTTTTTATTCAATCAACGAAAAACCATTTGTCCAATTAATTTTTCACTAGTTAAAAGTTTACGGGATTGAGGCAATATGAGTTATATGTGTTAATATATTGAATATAATATTAACTATTATATATTATTATATTGAAACATCTTGAAAAATCCTACCTCTATTTTTTTTATTGTATAAACTGCATTTGTGAATTAATTAATACGCTATATTACATGGATGTATGCGCTCGTAGGAATATAAAGGCGAGTGTAGATGTACACATATTAAGAACGAGTTAGGAAACAAGGAAGAGAAAGGTAAAAAAAGAAAAGAAAAAACAGGGAAGAAAGGTTTTCTTTCATACGTCGTATGAAATTTTGCTTCACCGCTTTTAATAATTGTAATGTTGTTAAAAAAAAATAAAAAAAAAAATGCAAAAATTGTTATACTAATTTTTTAACTTTGGCCAGTAAACAAACAATACCACCATAAATTTAAAACTGTAATAAAAAGTTAACAAAATTTCGGGAGCAAGTATAATAATAACCGCTACTATGTCGCTACTTTGTCATAAATGAGTGGCGTACTACCATTAGCAGGCTAATTAATTAGTACATGCCCAATACTCGTGCACTGAAATGGTTTATCGTAAAAGTTACTATCGCGCGCGATTAATATATAGGGCAACGATACAGAAGCTACCTAAAATTAAATCCTGCTCTTTCTGCATGTTTCATCCTCTGCTTGGTGTCTCTCTTTCTCCTTTTTTCCCACTTCGATCGGAAACTGGTAGAACTGTTAGTCGTTCTGCTGATTCCCTCTTAATCTTTCTGCGCATAGACAGAACAGAATGCAGACAGTGTTTGACTGCTCGCCTCCTGCGCGCACGAACATAAAAAGAGACAGACGTAAGAGAGAAAGAATCACTGATTGTTAGGATGGGCGGGCGGGAGGGAGGGCAACAAACGCGCGTGCGCTCACGAGAGATCGACATAACTGAGCGAAAAATCCCCGCCAGCGTAGCGCACCTCACTATATTTTGCGCTTGCGTTTGAGAGAGCGGGAGAATATGGTGGATAAGGGGTGCGGGCGAGAGGGAGCGAATGAACGAGCAATAGCGGGAGAGAAAAGAGCGAGGATAGTGGCGAGAAACATAACGAACAACGACTTTAACACTCTTCTATACACCAACCGACTACCGTGTACGAGGAAGTAAAGAGAAGTAAAAAAAATGAAATAAAAGTAATAACAAAAAATTCGTGCTATTTATATACGATATATATATAAATAAATAAATATATATATATATATATATAGAGAGAGAGAGAGAGAGAGAGAGAGAGAGATACTTGCAGCCGTCAGTCGTAGCCTTTGCTGTCTCTTTCTCTTTCTCTCTCTCTCTCTCTCACTCTAGTACGTATTTTCGTCTAAAAATATATGCGCGTCAAGCAATACACGTTAGCAAAGATATTTTTTTTCAATTGCGGCGAGGGAGAGGTGTTGCGTGCGCAAGGGCGGCGACATTCGAACATCTAGCCATCCTTTGGCCATCGCTGACTCGCCGCTGCTCTAATGTGGCGGCGGTGCGCGTCAGGGGCTTCCCCAAGTGACAAGAAATGCGCAAGTAGCGCCGTCCACCACTAGCCATCCGCAAATATTATACTGAAATTACTACTACGAGGGAGCATACGATCACGCATGCGCACCAGATATCGTAGAAATTTAGCGATAAATCTTTCTTCTCCGACTTATCCATCTCGAAAGGTGCGCCGGAGCTTCGGAATCAAATATTATTATGGATGCATATATCCAGCAGCCGCAGGGACAACGAGCAAGCAGCGGCAAATAAGCGAAATGGAAAGATAGAAATCTAAGCTCGTTGATGATGACGATGACGATGATGACCAACGACGATATGGGCCGCGCTCACAGCCGTGCGCACACATGCGCTCGGTAGAGGATGGGTCGTGGAGAGGGAAGTGGCGCCGACGCGCATCCACTGTTACGCATACAACGCAGTCCCTGGAATGAAAAAGTGTGAGAGAGACCGAGACAGAGAGAGAGACAGAGATGGAAACGTCGTCGAACAAGCCGTTCTCTTGCTCGCTCTCTCGCTCGTTTGCTCGCTCGCTGAAGTAGAGACGTCGAGCGAAGCGGTGAGACCTGAGCGCAGCAACGAACGCTGCCGCGACACAGTATAGTCGGTTCTCGCGATAACCAGGAACGGTTAAACGAGGGGTTCGTGATCTCATATATTCGCGTGCGCGCATGCATGTGAGTCAGAGAAAGAGAGATAGAAGTGCGCGCGTGCCCCGTCACCTGGTGGCTCATCACCGTTGATCCACCTTCCAGGGAGTACTAGCGCAGTCACTCCCCTTCGAGGTTAAGAAGCCTGCGAGACGCCTCCTCCTACCTCTGCTTTTCATCACGCGGTTCACGTTCCACCGAAAGGAACGATGACGCGGCCGACGGCACCGAGACGCATCGTAATCCCGGCGCTCGTCGCCATCGTTCGCTCCGGTTGAGGGGACGACGGCCCTACGGTCATCCTCTTGCCAATCGCGTGTCGTCGACGCCAGCATTTGTAGGTTAGTTCCCGTACCTCCGTGCAAGATACGAAGAGGTGGTGGAAGGACGCGCGCCGCAGTTGCAGAAAGAAAGAGAGAGAGAGAGAGAGAGAGAGAGAGAGTGCGTGAGAGAGTGGGAGGTATATTGGCCGCCTAGCGTCGTCATCGTCACCGTCATCGACATCGACGACTGTGCGAACGTCCGCTGGCGTCCTTGTGTGCCGGAGTGGGAGCGGCGTGTTTACGCCGGGGACGAGGATACCGCACGGGATAAGAAGCAAGCATGTACTCCAAGGGTAAGGGCTCGTCGGTGCCCTCGGACAACCAAGCCAGGGAGAAGTACGTCATTTTATTATCATTTTTCTCCTTTTATTCTCTTTTAATTTAATCCCGTTGCGTCAACGAGTCGCCATTCTCCTTTAGCAGCATCCCTGCGACGTATTTTCCCGGTTTTTCTTAAGCCAATGAAAATTACGGTTTCCTCGCTTGCCCTCGACTCCCCCTCTAATTACTCTGACTATTCTCGCATTTTTCTTCCATATAGAAGGATAAAGCAACATAGATCTTATCTCTCGAACGGCATTTTCTACTCTGCCGTACCGAATTATACGGTAACCTTGAATTTTCACGTGTGTCGCAATTAAATCCTTTGTTTATAATAAGCTTTACTAATAATCGCGTACGTCAATGTTACGCACATTCCTTCCTTTTCATTTTTGAAACGACTTAACTTGAGCGCGGTGTATGTGTAAAAAATGCGTCAGTGACTGTTGACGTTTGGATTTTGTATGATTCGTTGGCTCATCAAGCATCTTACTTCTATATATACGATTAACAATGTTCCAAAATTTTAATTCAACATCATATTATGAACAGTTCGTCAGATCGAGATTACAAATTTATGATTAAATTATCTTTTTTTCTCACGGTTAAATATAATATTATTACATAATTAATCATTGTGGCTGTTATGAAAAATATTCCATTTGAATCACCAGGTATTAGAACTTGCCGGAACAAAAAACGAAGTCATTTAGTTTAAAAAAATTTATAATTTCAAAATTACTAACAAATGATTAATATACTCTATATTAACATATTAATTTAACGGTAATGAAGCGCAAAAGTTGATATAAAGATAATAAGTACTTTTTAACGCTACATAAAATTTTCTGAAAAAATGCGAATTTATTAATCATTATTTAAGCTGCCGCTAGTATTCTTACAAAACTAAGAGTTTTGGCCGACATTCCAAAATACTCATTAAATTAAACAATGTTTAATTCATTATAACACAGTTTCTTACAACTCTTATGCAAAATTCAGCATAAAATGTTATGGTCAAAATTGCGTATTCTCAAGTAATACGTTAGTGGTGCTATCGATTATTGATAAATAAATCATTTAAAGTAAAGCAATAAAAAGGCACGTTATTTTTATAAGTACGGACTCCTATAGTAGTTTACAAAAAATTTTAATCGAATATTTACAAAATGGCCGACATTCAAAGTTGACGATATTGAAATCTGTTATTTAAAACATTATATGAGGATAAAAAGTATGGAGTTATAGTAGTGTAAACAGACATTGAATATGTTGTTATCTACAATTACATTAAAAGTTTCACAGCAGTTTGATAATCAACAGCAATACAATTTTTGCTATAAAAAAAAAAAATGAAAATATCAAACCAAAAAAATTATAAATTTTTTAAAAACGTATAACTTCGATTTTTTAATTTGTTTTAATTTACATATATACATATTTAATATTCGCTATATATTTACATTTATCAATACAAATATATTATTGGCGAAAAGTTTATGAAGATTTTGTCCACAATCCATAACAAAAATTCAATTTTATCCTACAATAAAGAAAAACTGTTTTATTGGCACTCAGCCTTCGTTAACTTTATGCAAGGCATGCAACAAAGTAATTCGTAGAGTATGTGAATATTTAAGTATAATCGAACATTTCTTTTATCAATTATAAAAATATCGATATTAGTTAGAACTTTGCAATACTTTCAGCTTTAATTAGAATCGCATTTTCTTAAAGACTGAAGAGAAAGATTTAGTTTTGGAATTATTAGAATGATAATTATTATTTAATAATAATACGTTATTAATTTAATCTTTATGCATGTATGAGGGGGTGGGGGCATAGGGTGAGGGAGAGGGGGGATATCTATGAACACACACGCAGAATTACCTCGACCAATGATATTGAACAATTCAAATGTAGTAAATAATAATAAGGGACATGTAGGATATTGCTAATTTTAAAATAAATGTTTGGATACACTTTTTTCACGAATTTTTGCACGAAAACATGACACGGTAATGTAGAATTATATATATTTTATTTTGAAATATTGAGAAATCTAGAACTATGATAATTAAATTTTTGTAAATAAGAAATAATAATATGGATTTTAAATATATTCAATGAAAAAAATTATTGTGATAAACAAATTGAATCCAACCATATCTCCTTTTTTTAATTCAATAAGTACGGTTACATTATTTTTTTTTATTATTATATTATAATAAAATTAACTTAAGAAATTTTAATTTTATGAAAAAATGTTAATGCACTGTTAATTTTGTATTTCTGAAAATTGGTTAATTTTGTTAAATATTTAAAGCTTATTTCATAAGAGGTAAGTAAGTCAGAAGTATAATAAACAAAAATTATGATAATTCACCATGGCGCAAAATCGTCATTTTTTAAAAACATTTTTAATCAAAGTTTTGTCGGATTTTAAAATAGTAAATTAAGTGTAGCCTTGTAGTAATCATTTATGTAATATTCACATCCGAATAACGATGCGCTATATAAAAATTAATTGGATTAAGAATTTACATTTAACAGGACTGCCGAAAGATATGTGAGGAGTAAAAAATTTAAAATAAATAAAATGCACGGTGGAGCGTGATGTAAACAAAGGAAAAGCCCACTGAATGTACAAGACGCCATGCGCGAGTTCTACGGTGAATGGCAACTCCAAAGCGGGATTTTCGACGCGCTCCCATTAATTTTGTCGATCGAAGTGTGCCACACTCTCATGCCTAGTTCTCTTTGCAGCAAAGAGAGAAGGAAAGAAACTCGCGCATGTACAGACATATACATGCACAAGGGATGTAAACCGCTTTCTCGCCTACGGCTGCTGCAACGGTTTTTCGTTGCAAAATCCATGCACTAAAAGAGAGTTTTGGAATTTGCTGCCGCTATTCCCCAACTATTAACTTGCGAACAATGCGATAGGCTTAGAGATTTATTATTATTCTTATTGTTTTTTTCTTCGTGTTGATAATTAATACCACACGAATTTCTCCTTCAATGTATTTAATTTATAATTTTATCGGCGCAATTGAGCGCCAGTATTAGTGTTAGGTATATAATTAATTTATAATTGAATGTACGGGATGATTAAATTTTATGTGCATTGATGTCGTTATAATCACGTAATGATATTAAAATATAAAAGAACAATTTTTTAATTCATATTTACGGCGCTGTTTTAAGTCAATTTTCAGTTTTAACTATTGCAAAACAAGAATTAGTTACATTTCATAAGTTGCTCGAATGACTTAAATGTATAATAATGATCCATCATAACGAGCGAAGAAGTTGTTTAAAAATAATTTAGTCATCTTTCACTGTTAATTGAGGTTGACGGACAGAATAAAAACTTATGTCAATATTTATATTGTATCAATTCGAGATTTTCAGATAATTTTCTAAATATATTTGTACATTTATCTAGAACTATCTGTATGTATCTTAAGTCAGATTTTTTACTTGCATTTGGAAGGAAATGCTAATGACTTATGATAGTTACTATTTAATTAATTAAAATAAAGGCGTTACTATCGAACGAGGACCTCTGGACGTGGTGGCCGCGTGTGTCCCTTAACTCAAGTCTGGATATGTGAATTTCCTTGGTAGGACATAATATTTACATCAAATATTCGCCTTATTATATATATTATTATATTATATATATTTTTTTATATATTTTTTTGAAAAACAAAATTAATTAGCAGCAGGTGCTGGATCATAAATACCGTTCGTGATGTATAATTGTAGAATAATCGCTATAAGTTTCGTACTCTGAAAAATTAGTGTAAATCTTGCTCTGTTTGAAATTACCAATCTAATTGTTGCATATCCTTTGAGGATTTCAGCTATTATACTTGGACGGCAGTATCTACACTCTGTGATCCTACAAACCTCAATCACAAGCAATTAATTTTCATGCTATATCTTAAATATTTTTTTTCGAACACTACATCCTCGACTCGATCCTCTTCATCCGCAAATTTCGTTCAATTGTTATAACAATAGTGTCGTTGTTTCATAACGCCACTGAACTAGTTGCATTGCCTTATTGCCTGCTGAGTTACCATTGCCCCTTACATAAACATTTAAATCTTTTAATTACTTTGGAGCGAGGCATCATGACATGAATTTTCACTTGGTTCGTGAAATCTATACCCATAATCTGATGAAAAACTGGGATCAGTATTCACTAACGAGGTGTCAAAGTGTCAATAAACATCTTATCCACTTTATTGAGTCAATACGGACTTGGCTCTTGCCCTAACTTTTGTTCAAAATTGAAGTTGCCCTGTAATTTGGACTAAATACAAAATTACAGGTTGCTATGTAAAATCTGTTTGTCGATAGGGTGATCGTATAGTAGTTTCTCTCACTGCATTAGTAGCAGTGAAGAAAGAGATGAAACACTTGTAAATATATTTTTAAATTTCATAAATTTAGCACATAGGTGATTATTCGCAAATCAACACTTTAAAACATATTATCAGTTTCTTACTATCGACTACATAACTGTAAAAACATATTTTTATATATTAATTTCAGATATTGAAATTCAATTCTTCAAAATTTGTACATAAAATTTATGTTAAATTCTAAAATTGCGCACGTATTGACAAATGTGTAGCAAATTCGGAACCTTTTAACCCATTCACCATGAATTTTTAAGATAAAATTTGACATGTATAATTTTGGAAACGATTCATCATACAAAACTTTTTCCATTTTTCAACGCGAAAAATTTGAAAACGATGTCGATGATGTTTTTTAAGCATCTCTATTTTTTAATATAATCCACGAACCGAACAAGTAGAATAATCATGCTTGTTGTTCTCGGTATCGTGTCTGGTTTGCAATTATAAATGCAGACCTGGTCACTTGCGGCAGAAGTATATGAGTAGCGAAGAAAAGAAAATCAACATGGCGACGATATCAAGCCTTTCGCTCTTGCACACTGTGCTTACATATTTTATGTACATTGGAGCGTAATATTTATATCTTGAAATTCGTGTCCCAATGTAATAATTGTAATAGTAGGTATTTCAATATTGTTAATAATTTTATTTCTATTTATGTCATGCGTAGTAAAATGATGTTTACAATAATTCAATGTCGATTGATATATTAATGCGTTAAAACTTTTTGAAGGTGATTATTTATTACGTCAAATTTGATTTCATTAATGCACTTGCTACTACTGTGCAACTATTGAAAATTATTTGGTAAATTAGAATTATATCATAATTCTATTTTCATTACTTTATATTAAGTAATTGACTCTATTTTTTTGGTATTCGTGTGTAACGAATGAATTTTTATCACATAAGTGCACTGGATATTTGAACTTTGATTTGTTTAATAAAAAATACTATATCCTTGTAAAAGAGGCAAAAGTGTATAATGAAAAAATTAATGTGAAATTTTCTTATTAACTTTGATGCGCATTTCGAATAACACCATAATCCAACTAAAAATTTCACTCCATTCGGAAGTTTTTATAGTTTGCTAATAAAGTCTATTGAATTCGACGATTGCCAATCACAGTGAATTTTCTAATAAAAATCAATACTTTAAAATAGAAATTTCGTTTTAACGTTTCTCATCATCGTGTTCGATTATATACGAAGTTTAGGGTCAATATCCTATCCGAGGACAATGGTCAAGGAAAGAACTTACGATTAAGCATAATGATCGATGAATTTGAAAATAAAGTGATACATTATCTGGAGTAAAGGAACCTTGTACATTGTGCAATGCCGTATAATAGTTGTCTTTCATTGTCGAAGCATCTTGTGCTCAAACAGTCGACTACATCATCATCCCACGTAAGCTGCTGATTTGAGCACCCCTGAGAAGATCCGGGACTACTCCTCCAATCGAGGCTTTCTCCCATCTCTCTTCTGCTTGCAAGCCCGCGCCCTGTCTTACTTCCTCTTGTTACCTCTCTGCCTTTCTCCGCGCGATGACGATGACGCGGCACGAGGAACAAGAGCGAGAGAGGAACGAGCGAAAAAATCCACGGCCCTCTTGTCGTCCCCCTTCACCGACTATCGCGCCACCTTTTCCTGGCTACCGCTACGCTGTTCTATCTTTCGCCTCCTGCTCTCGCCGATTCTACGTACACGAGCGTTTGGATTTTCTTTACCGATACGATTTTACATTTCCTGGTTTGGGTCGATCGGGGGTTTGACTGTTGCTTCCGTTGATCAACAAATATCTAAGGAGATTGGCTTAAAAATTGTGGCCTATTAATTTAGCCAATGTTCTATTGTAGATGACCCATAGCGAGCATTTATTACATTTTTAATTAGTGAAATTGTTTTGTAAGAGTGGACAGAGCATACTAATACCGAGAAAATGTATTCGAGGTCTTTTAATTTACCTAGATGATGATTTTTTAAATGATGTATCAAATGCTCGGATTTTGCTGCTTCAAAAAGAAAAGTTTTACATTAGTAATTCGTTACAATTTTTTAGATCTGCGTCATTCTTATGAACAATAAGGACAATCGATTTCTATATTAAATAAAAAGTCTATTATTCCATACAATTATATTTAAAATATGACGAACGTATCTTAATTAATATTTAACGGTATCTCTCTTTCTCGCTCTCTTTCTCTCTCTCTCTCTCTCTCTCTCTCTCTCTCTCTCTCTCTTTCTCTCCTTCCCTCCCTCGATAAGTATGTAAATACTACATTACATTTCAATTTAATTAAAACAAACTGTTTCTCTTATCATTTTCATTTTATGGCCAAAATGTTTTTGAAAATATAAAAATAATGCTCAAATGATGATGAAAACAAATACATTTTATCACGCTTTCGGAATATTTTTCGAAAATGATTTCTAATTTTATTTCTTGTGTAGCTTTATTATTTATAACATTATACGAGCTAACATGACAAAAGCAATTTATGAAATAATATAAATACATAATTTTCTATATTTAATAAACAATTATAGGGTGCTTATAATAATAATAAATTAGTTATTTTTATATTTTAAACAAGTTTGGTTATAGAATTATTAAACATTTTCCAAAATACTAGGTGAAAATTTAAATGTCTAAACAAAGGATTGAATGTCCAGATAGATAAAATACTATATTTCATTACATTATAAAATTTCAATTATGATATAAGAATATACATACTTATGAAATTAAATATAATAGTTATTTATTATTTATTTTATTTTCGTCTTTCAGATTAGCTTTATATGTATATGAATACTTGTTACATATTGGTGCACAGAAAGCAGCACAAACATTTTTATCTGAGGTACAGTAAAATTTAACTAATTTGTTTATAGATCTTATGAATTCATTAAATAATGCGACATTATAATTGTAATAGATTCGATGGGAGAAAAATATAACGCTCGGGGAGCCTCCTGGTTTTCTTCATTCTTGGTGGTGGTAAGTAACAAAGAATAATCTAATATATAATAAAAAAAGAAAGTATCAAAATTTTAAAAATTGTAAAGATATATAATTATTAATTTCTTCGAACGTTTCAGCGTGTTTTGGGACCTGTACTGCGCAGCACCTGAGCGCCGAGATTCTTGCGAACACAGCAGCGAAGCCAAAGCTTTCCACGATTATGTGAGTATCAGCGTTATTACTTGTTTATTATCATCATTAAACAATTGATTCTGAAACATTGACATTGTTATTGTTAACATTATTCACGCGCATTAGATATAAAAGTCCAGCTATTTCATGCAAAAACATTACTTAAACTATCAGTATTTCCTCTGTAAAAGTATGATCGATTTTTATCAATCTTTTAATTTCAGGGATTCGTAAATAGCGGATATGGAGTTAACGGAATTGCGCACGTAAGTATATAAAATACATTCATAAAATATAATGATAAAAAAATAAAAATCTCTAATAGTATGACTGCATTTGTAAGAAAGTATTGACGCCTTTAAACATCTTTTACACTTGAGCAACTCATTAAATTCATTTATACCAATAGTAACCGCAATTGACAGAACTGAAATAAACAAGTGCCAGTACCTTTGAAATAATAAAAAAAATTATAAGATACCTTGGAGACGTAAACACCAGATCAAATATCCATGAAGATTATAATTGACAAGTCGCCCGCATGCAGAATTTATGCAAGCTCTTGACAAATTAAAGATCATCTAAAAATAATACTGTATTCACAGAATGCTGGACCGGCACCCTCGCCTCTTGGACAGATGCCTCCAAATGACGGTATGCCTGGCGGTCCAATGCCACCTGGTTTTTTCACCGTAAGTGTCAATCTCTCCAATATATTTAATAAATTTTGTATTTATGATCCGTGACCCCCTAACCTCTCCAGTATATTTATGTATATATTTGTGTGTGCACGACAGACAAGTATAAGGCCTTCGAATTTCCTCGGGCTTTTCTTTCTTTCATTCCTTCCTGCTTTGCTAACTTTCTCCTGCTCCTGCCCTTTTACGATCACTTTTTACCTTTTCACCCCTACACCTCGAACTTTCTTCCTCATTTTCTCGGTACATAGTCGCGAAATGTGCACAATACCGCAATCTTTTAATGCTTTGAAAAATAAACGCCGAAAAAAGCGCAGGTAAAATCATACTATAATTTTCGTACATCTTCACGTAACTTTCTGATAATAATTTCTTGTTCGGAACATAATTTTTCCTACTTTTTTTTTACAGTTTCGCTTTTTTTATTTACTGTACTTTCAATCGAGTGATGATCTTTCCTAAATAAAAAAATAAAAATATATATCCTTCAAGATGAGAAATGGAGATGAATACATATATATATATATATATATATATCTAGAGAGAGAGAGAGAGAGAGAATGAGCGTGAGAGAAGTGAGAGTGAAAATGAGAATCAAAGTGAAAGATATTAAATTTACTATCAATCATATATACTTCTCCAAAAAAAACGGTAGAACATTTGTTATGCGTTTATAATAATTGTATATTTAGGTTTATTATTATTCTCTGAGATATTTAAAAGTATAAAAAGCAAAGACATTAATTTTATAGCAGTATACAAATGTTGAATTTATCAAATTTTTAAGCAGTTAAAAGCATAATTTAAATTAATTATTCTGACGATGCGAATGGTTTCTTTCTGACATTTATATTGAAAATATAATTTGATTCAGATAATTAAAATTACAAAATTATATAAATGTTAAGTTCATAGTATACAATAAGCAAAGATATAATTAATATCGTGATTGATTTTTTTATTAAGGAAAAGCTATTAATTAAATGAAATATCTGACCAAATTTCGAATTTATGTGTAATTATAGTTAATTTAGAATATTGACACAAGTAATTTATTCAATTAAATATCTTGCATAAAAAAAATAACTTGCATATTAATGTCTTTATTAATTAGTTTATTAATAATTTTTTTATCAAAATATAATCTTAAATTTTTTTTACATATTTTATTTTATTGAATTAATCTGCAATTTCCAACGCTTATTAAAAAAAGTTTAAATACGTATTCTATTTATAATTTTTTAACTTGGTACTAGCTTAAGTGAGAAAATGAATTAGCTTTTTCCGTCCATAATAATTGAATATGTACATTGAATATATACATAACAAATAGACGCGTCAAAAATTTCATAATACTCTGGACTCTGCTACATTTTTTTTTGTTGATAAATTCGATATATTACATACCTTTCTAAAACATTATAAACTTTTTAATAGAGATTATATAACATTTGATTTTTTCGGTTTTAATGTAGGAATTAGATTTATATCATCATTGAATGTATTTCTCAAATCATTAGTGTGCTCGTAAAAATTTCTATGCAAAAACTAATTGTTGAATTAAAAGTGACAGTTGACTGTAAAGATTAAATAAATAACATAATTAAAATATCTGTAAAACGTTTTACATAAATTAAAATCTTAAAAATATTCGGAATTTTAAATAATTCTGTGTTAAAACTAAAAAAAGTCCTGAACAAAATAGTAAGGTAAAATGTAGTAAAATTTACAATGTATAATAAAAATATAATCGATATTACACAGAGAGAGAGAGAGAGAGAGAGAGAGAGAGAGAGAGAGAGAGAGAGTTTATGTACACACATGCACACTCACGCGCGCCCACGCTCTCACACATAGCCACGTATAAATTGGAATTTATCTCATGTTATTAATAAAAAAATTGTTCTATAATTTACTTATATTTTACCGCTAATATTTGACAAGTTCCATTTCGTTTCTAATACAATCATTGTGTTTGAACATTTCATGTATATTACTAAAAAATTTTAATTGTGACTAAACTATTTCATGTTTCTCGACAAATAATTGTTTAGCAAGCATTTATATGATGCTCTGTCACGTTTTTATATGGAAATATAAAGTTTTAAATTTATTGCTTCTCTCTTTTTTTATTATTAATATAGTTTTTTTCTTTGAAAAATCAAATAATCATAAAAGAAAAACTTGTTTTCAGATGTGTGTAAGACTTGTTTTGTTTTCGTAGCTTAACGTGATTTCTATAATAATTATCGCATATTACTATGAAATAATAATTGTCAATTAAACATGTTAAGACCCAAATTCTTATAAAATCTTTATAAATCTTTCCACTGCTTGTTTCATCTGTATTTATGTATATTTATCTTTACTGTGTACCTAACACGTGTATGTGCATTCGTGTATTATGTTTTAATTGTTTTGGATCGGCATATCCTTTAACAGAATAATGACGTGTGGATGTTAGAAATAGTGTTAGAGCAAAATACGGTATATCTCAAGTGTATCGGACTATAAGTTGAATCCTCGCTTCGATATTGACGTTTTTATCATTGTTATCGTAACGAGAGAATATTACTATAATACCAAATGATATTTATATAGAAAATAGTTTATGAAATTGATAGGCATATGTGTACTAAGGTAACAGGTATCAACGTTAATCTTTTATATGGACGGTTCATATAATCATGCATATTAACCGTACAATACATAAAATTCAAAACTTACATTAATCTGAGACTATCGGTGTAAAAAGCGTCAATCTATACGAGATTCAACGACGAAGCATTTTCTTTACTACCGAAGCTTGCCTAAACTGTAGTGTAGTTGTATAAGTGGTCTACAGGACTTGCAATTAAGGAGAAAATATTGTCTAACATATTCCAGTTATTATTATTATTATTATTATTATTAATATTACTATTATTTTCAAACCCATATATTTTGTTATTTAGGTAACGAACGTGTATTTTTAAAACTAAGCGAGTTCTTGTCGACTATTTATTTGTGGGAAGTAAGATCTCAAGAACCGATGACGAATCTATAGGAAACTTAGCCTGGTAGAAATCTATCTTTATAAAATCATTTATGTGAAAATGTGAAATGTTAAAGGAGTTTTTCATTAATCACATTAATATGATTTTTCGTAGAGCTAAATTTTTTAACAATATAAAAACGTTTCTAGCATATACTTTCGATTTCTATAAAAAATGATTTAGATATAAGATATTGCTTGTTTAATTTCGTCTCTAATTTATTTAGATTGTAATGTAAGGAAAATGCATTATAGCTCGAATGTTAAAAAAATTGAATTCTATTTGTAAATATTGTTCTCATTTATACATAATCCATCTGTTTGAAAACTTATGTTTATCTTACTCTATAATCATTATGTTTAAGATTATATCGCGTAAAAGCTATATACCCTTAACGATATACATGGATATACGGTGCCGTATATAACAATGTATATACCAATATACCGTGTTATGCATTTTAATAATGTTAAATAAACGTAGGTATGTGCCACTTTGGTTTCTGTTCAATTGAAATTGAAATGCACTATAAAAATGAACGAAAAGTACATTATTTGTCTTTACTTTTATTTTATTTTAAATAAATACAATATGATATGTAAACTCAATACAGAAATCAAATATTTTTAATTGCATTTATTTATAGTAGTTATTAAAGCTTGTTTAAATGTCAAAAGTAATAAAATCAGCCATTGTGTCGATAAATGAAACTAAATATAAAGAAAATTAATTGTCTTTATTATCTTCCAATACATAATAAAAGGATTAATTGAGTACATTCAATTTGTTTTGTATTTCTTAAAATAAATTAGTGTTTATAAATGACGTGCATAAAAATCGGTACTATTCGAATGTTTTTTATAAAAGGAAACGGTAGATTTTATATTTAATAGCATAGATTCTTCTAATCTTTTTCATCTATAACCCGAGTTTTTATTAATATACACACTATACAGTCAATATATAATACATGATAGGATCTAGCTTTTACGCGTCGTATAATCGACATCTCGAGGGTAAAGTGACCATTGTTAATTTTCAAAGGCAATCACGTAACATCCCTGATGTCTCGTTCTATCTGTAAATTAAATAAAATAACATGTCACTCTACCCACGTTTTGTATTTCGGCTCGTACCACCCCCGCGGCTCCATACGTCTCTTATCATCTTCGCTCTACATTAGTTTTTTTCTAGCTGTTTATTATTACTATTTATCTTCTTTTTTTTATTATTATTTTTTTAATTGCCTGTGGATCGCAATGTTGCCTACATGTCCGGCGTTTTACGTTGCTTGTTGCAGAACAACTCGACAATGCGACCATCTCCGCCCACTCACCCTTCATCACAGCCATCTCCCCAGCACCCCCAGCCACCCCCGCCCCCACACTCGCAGATGATGTCCACCCAGGTAAGCCGTCATTCAGAAAAATCCAAAAATGCTTCTACACTCTCATTAATTGTTATCATGTAATATAGTGGTGTGTGCACTATTTCTGTATTCATTTTTTTTCTCTACTTGTAACACTATTTTTTTTCACTTCCTGGCTGCATCAGATTAACCGAGAATGGAATGCATAATTTTGACAAATTAGATTCTATTTCATATTAAAAATTAGTAATAAAATTATAAACGAACTACATTTCGACTTTTAATTGATTATAAACTTTTTAAAACATACTTTTATTAAATTTCGTATTAGATCAAAAGACTGTAACGTGTAACAAGATTACGTTTTTCCTTTTTTTGGAAAGTTTATTCTTAAAAAGAATTACTAACATCGATGTCAAATAAATTTTGAAATCATATCAATTACACAAATATTTAATAATTCCAAAATATTTAAGATATGTAAGAAAATTGTAGTCATTAAAGAATACATCATGTACATAGAAATACGTTTTAGCATAAAATGATGCTTTCAGTTGTTTTAGTTACGCTCCATATTATATAAATTACATCTATGAAGCTACATGCTTTTGCTATTTGTCATAGTACTCTTATAGATCTAATCTTTCTTTAAATTCTTTCGTGATATATTTTTTATTAAAAATATTTTATTTAACTCGGGTCTTTTACTTTCTGATATTAATTGTTGATTGTTCTCTGATTTTTGTGTTGCTATCTCGATTTGTCTTAGTAATGGAAAATTAGCCATCTTGTCTGAATTCCTGGCAAAATGTATTACATTGAATGTTGATCTGTAACCTATAAATGTTGTTATTAAAATAATTATTAATTTGTATAAATAGTATAAAATTTATGCTGGTTATTTACTGCAAATTTTACATTTAATATTTATATTCATCTTTATTTTCTCTTTGAACTCAAGAAATATTTAAACAAGATGCTCTTTTCGCAGTTAATTTATTTTTATCTAGATCTTATTTATTATAAATCAATTATAAATCAAATAATTTATATTGCTTAATATCTTAATCATATATAATAATCTTGTGATCCTTAAATAAACTATATTATTTACTGAAAAATTGGTATTTAAATATTCTAATTTTATTGAAATTATTTTTTAAAGTAATTAGTAATATTTTTAATAATTGTGTAATTATTCTAATAGAATATATGAATAATTGGTAAAAAGTTACATTATTTATAATTGTCATAAGAAAACTATAATAATATAGTTTTCTGAGTTCAAAAAACAACTTGTTAAATAATAAAATTATAAATTTGAAGAATGATCAATTATATTGCCGGATTCATTGCTAAAAAAAGACTTTATTAATGCTTTTTTGGCCTATTACTTATTTGGTGGTTGATAAATAGTAAACCAGTTTTTCCGGGAAGCTTTAACTCAATTATTTTTTTAGCATCACGATTAACTTTATTGATTACTGTTACAGTTCATGGGTCCAAGGTATCCTGCAGGGCCTCGACCAAACGTTCGTATGCCACAGATGGGAAATGATTTCAATGGAGTAAGTTCTTTAATGTTCAAAAAAATTTTTATCTTTAAAAATAATTTGGATCATGGGTCGTAACTTTAGACGTACATTGATGTTGCATTGAAAATTTGCATTGAATATAATTAGTTTTAATTAAAAATTATAGACTTTTATTCGGCAAATTGATAAATTGTTAATAATGATATTTTTAATTTTAGCCACCAGGTCAACCGATGATGCCTAACAGCATGGACCCAACGAGACAAGGTGAGTAATTGTTCATGGTAGTTGTTGATCAAAGTTTTTCTTAGCATTGAGAAGCGTTGCAAAAAAGGAGAATGGCATATTATTTACGCATGCGTATCAAAAACCACACAGCAATATTAATTGAGGAAGTAATATTAAATTTGGATTGGATTGCTGTGATGTGGAGTGGACTGGTTTTTGAGCTGTCTAGTGGCAAATATAAAACAGTGGTACTTTTAAACATTATGTTTCACAATTCGTAAATCAACCGATATTTGTGTTAAAGTTGAGTACCGACTGACTATTAATAGTTATTTATTTTGTTTTTTTTCACCTTTTTATAAGTCAATACATAGAAGAATAAATTACTCACTGTTTGTTCAATATACTGTTTGATTTGTTTTAGAAGTAAACGCTTCTTCAACGGATATATAACAATTAATGTTTTATATTTTTAAATTTGCGCTCTCAAAGAACCATTTTCAACAAGATATTTATTTTTTTTAATGTTTACATACATCTTTCAAATGGTAGTATTTATTTTCAAGTTTTTATAAATATTTATAATTTTATCTATGCAGTAATGGTAATTTTTTATGGATTTTGTATGAAAAAGAAAAAAAAGTTTTAATAAAATAAAGAATTCTCTGCGCCACTGCATAAATAATTAGGCTTTTTGTTAATCGCTATTGATTGATCTGATCTTACCTACCTGCAGTACTAATGTGTGCTCTTGTGTTCCTCAGGCGAAGCTGGAGAATTTGTAGGGTGGCAAGGTAGGAAGCAACCCAGCAAATTGAATCACATTGACATGACTTAGAGAACAGGCTTTTTCAATATCTCTTAGTTTCTCTTTTACTTGATTACTAATCATCTTTTTTCTTCTTTTTTTGCCGCCTTACCATTACACTATTTTTTGTTATTCATTTATTTAAGTGTTTAAAATCCTTTTCTATTATTTTTTAACAATTTATTTTTAATTTTTTAATTTTTGTTACTTCATTTTTCTTTTTTCTTTTTTTTGCAAGCAAACGCACTGGCTTCGTCGCACAATCAGCAAAAAATATCAGTCTTTCATTTCGATACGTTTTCAATTAGAGCATGAAACAGACATATTGTAAACTGATACAGTTTGGAAACAAATTATTCTTCGTCAAAAACTTTTATTTCGTCAATATACATTTGCATAATTCACATTTGTTGCTTGCAAATGTTGTGCAAATGTTTGTGAAAAATTTGACGTATTTGACCACGGTACGAGAATTGAAAGAATAAATGACTTTACTTCGTTTACTGAATATTTTATTAAGATTTCTTCAAAGTATATCATTGTCGCAAAAATTTCTACTGGACAATCGGATAACAGATCCGCTTTACACATCACACGACAATGGGCATGCTTTTTTATAGCATTAGGAAACTTTATAAAAGCATGGGCCAATAAAAGTATCTACTATATTTAAAAAAAAAAAAAAAAACTTAACGAAAAACCCATATTAAATAAAAAATTTAAGTTAGCTTAATGCAAACAAGCATCCACTCCAATATTATATTTTATACCTTGCACAAATCAAAAGAGAAGCTATAATTTTGATCAAGCAGTTTAAGTTGTTTCGGGTTATTTCAAATATTAAAAACTGGTATTTTTGTTTTTTTTTTTGTATTATTTTTTTTTGTTTTATAATAAGAATTGTCTATTGAGCAGCTTGACTATCTCTCATTCTCATTTATATATACTTATATGTATATTAGAATTAGACTGCACCTGCCTTGCACCATATTTATTTCTCTGCATTGAGTTCACCGCTGCACTAGCATGGCTAAAACAAATTGCTTTGCTTTGTTTTTAATACGAGCGGAGTAAGATCGATGGACTCAAAGTTTCATAACTCTTTTTCACATTAATAAGTAGAAGTGTGTTAAAGAGTAAAAGCTTTATAATTATATTTTCTTTATTTTCTTTTCTACATTTATTCTCAAAAAATGCACTCGATAAATTGATGTATCATATAAGAGCTTAGACACATAATATATATCTAATACGCAATAATTATCATAATATGATTGTAAATATAGATCGATGTCTATATTAATGCGTACCATACGTAGTTTTAAGCATCAGCAATACACGTAAGAAAAAATTTCATCGATTATAATGTATTGACAAAGCAATATATTACCAATTATTTTTATCATATGTATACAGAACCATCGATCTCGCTCTGCTGAAAGTCGAATGTATTATTAGTACAAATTCAGCCCGTTAAATTAATGATTAACCGCAACAATAAGCAAAATACTAGTCTACATAATATCGGGATAAAACAAAAACCTGAACAACTTGTTACGATTTAGTGTTTTGAGTGTAGCTCGCACTCGTTTTCAACCAATCCTTAGACTCATCAACGACCTTGGTAATAAACTTCGAAATGCTTATCTAGGCTCGCCTGGCATGAACCCGATGAATCCTCGAATGAACCACCCGAGGGCTGGACCGGGCGGCATGCCGCCGATGGGCCCTGGCACATATGGACCCGGACTTAGAGGCCCACCACCCAACAGCAACCTGGCGCCCGGTGGTCCTGGTGGCACCGGAATGCCGCCCATGAGTATGGCGGGGCCTGGAGGCAGGCCACAGTGGCAGCCAAACACATCGACAGTAAGTTTAATCTTGTTTTATCATTTATTCGTTTATGAATATTGTTATTATACTATGATAATTTAAATTGAAATTTACGTAAATATTTATTACTCTGTAATCGTAATATTTGGACGCGTGTCTTTAAATTAAATAGTTGTTTATTTTACAGCAAGTGTGTGTTTGGCATAAATTGAATCCTCAAGATAATTGGCAATGCACTAATACTTGATTCAGAATGCTGCTAGTAATACTAATTATTTTGGAGCCGATGAAAGTATCATCACTCCTGTCATTAATTATTTAACCTTTCGCCTTATTATTTCATAAAAAATTTAATTATGAATATAATTAATATAGTTATGTATTACTATAAAGAAATTAAAAAATAAAAGAGTTCTTGAAAGTGTAAAGTAAAGTTTAAGAACTTAAAATACTAGTTCGGTAGGAGTTAATTTTTATTTCAGTCCACTATTCTCATTCGCATATTAAATCTTACATTGCAAATAACAATGATGAATGTGCATTCGCTTCTATCGGCAATAATTTTTTAACTTAGAAAATTTGATAATCATTTCGTTCATTTGAAAAGGTATCTTATTTTATGTATTATATAATAATTCCATTATTATGCTTATTTGTAAAATAGAGTATGATAAATTATCGAGTTTTGTTCGTGATGTAAGTGTACAATTAAAACTATTATAGGGTAGCGTTTTTAAAAATTATAATTAAAATAAAAGATTAACGAATAATTGTAATTATAAGAATTCTAATGCTTTCGGCATCTTTACCGAAGATGTAAATGTCGGCTTATCTATCTATCGCGGAGAATGCTTATTACTTAATTGGTCGAATAGCAATTTAAATAATGTTTGATATGTTCCTTCTCCATCTTCTCCCCTCAAAGTTGATAAAGTACCGTTTGATGTTACAGCCAATGAATTACTCGTCGTCTTCGCCTGGGAATTACGGCGGGCCTCCGGGTTCAAGCGGACCTCCGGGACCTGGCACGCCGATAATGCCTAGTCCCCAAGATAGTAGTAATAGCGGTGGCGAGAACATGTACACGATGATGAAACCAGTACCTGGAGGAAACATGCCTGGCGTAAGACTTCATAATATTGTTGATATCTAGTACAATAAGGCTTTCGTGGTGCTATTTCGTGGGCCGACTCGTGATTATTAATTTTAACGTATGACTCGGCATTTCTTTTGTATTTTTATTTTTATTTTTATTTCTTTTACTATGAGCCTATTACCATTATAGTCTTTATACAACGTTAAAATCAATTATTATAAGGAATTTCAAATCAATAGCTCTAGATTGAATAAAATATTCTATAATAGCAATAATAGATAGACGTGGTATTTTTATTTTCCATAAATCAATATATTTATTTAATAATATGTAATTATTTAATAATTAATTGGATTATAAGTCGATTCAGAGTTCTCTTTAGAATAGATTATTCTGAATTTTTAGAAAGCTGATTTCTTGTTTAAAAGCAATCGACGAATTCAAGTTGCATGAGATACCACGACGTTAACTTGTTAGATGCACAAACAAAGAGTGAATTGATTTCAGGACTTTCCAATGAGCGGCGGCCCGGAGGGTGGGCCAATGGGGCCGATGGGCCCCAACACCATGGGTCCGGTACTAAATGGTGACGGCCTCGATGGTATGAAAAACTCGCCAGCGAATGGCGGACCAGGCACACCGCGAGAGGACAGTGGCAGCGGCATGGGTGACTATAATCTAGGTGGCTTCGGTGGACCTGGCGAAAATGTGAGTATCAGCGGTTTTATGTAGAGAATCGAATTAACGTGATCGTGTTTTTTTTAATTTATATATATTTATATATATGTATATATTTATGTATATGTATATATTTATATATATTTATGTATATGTATATATTTATATATATCTATATATATATATATTACTCTCATAGCTATCGCCGTCATTATATAGTTTTATCTTTTATTTGATATTGTTTCTATGCTCCCTTTTTTTTTAGTAGATCTTTACCTTTGCTCACTACTCCTCAGCTCGATTAATAACTGCTCTGTCCTTTGATACAAATACCATACACTTTATTTTGCACGTATACGCGTCCAATGTCCTCTTTTGGTATACACTTTTACGAGGTTATTGGGAGTTCATTCGCTGGGGCCACGCTGTTCAAGCTGTGCTTCGGTAACTTCAGTCTTTCTTTTGTACTGCATTTCTTTTCCCTTTCCTTTCGTTTTTAAAAAGTATACATTTTTAACTTTGCTGTGCACATTACATAACTTATTGCTCTCGCATTCGTATTTTGCATCGAATGCTTACGAGTCAAAGAAAGTTTCTATTTGAAAAAGTTGACTCGAGATTTAATTAAATTTTCGAGTAATACTATTTCAAATCTTTTTTTATTGTAAGCTAAATTCTAATGGTCTTACACTAAAATTATTAACTTTATCAAATTGGTCTAATCTGTTTTTATAAATGAAACAAAAAGCTATATTTCTTTTATTTTTTATTTTTTTTTTATATTCTATTATTCTTGATTTAAAATAATAAATATTGATAACTCGTTAAATTTGGCCTTATTGTTCAATAAACTTAGATTTTCTTTGATTCGATGCTTAATTTTATTAAAGGTCAAGATCTTGCATCATATTTCGCCCATTATCGATAACTTAAAGGGGATGCTTTCTCAGTCTGAGATAAAAATAATGATAAAATATTTTAGAGTTCATTTTAAGTCTTGTGAACGCGAATGAATCCATCGTTATTGACCTTGTAATGGAAAAAAAGAATTATACTTACATCTTTTTACAATTTTAAGGTTAAAAAATATTTAAGTTTGTCATTTACTTTCCATCAATATTTCATCAATAATTCCATCGATAATGTAGAAATAGGAATTTATTAAGAAATTTCGTTTTATTTTTTAATTGGAAATGGAAATAAAATTAATTATGCAATAAATGAAAACAAATTTTATAAACATTATAGAAAAATCTTGTACTATATGTTAAGACAATTAACAAATCTTTTTCAATTTTATATGATTTGATTTAATTATTTAACCTTAAACTAAATCTTCATGTTTCTATTAAATAAATTTAATAATAATTTTTATATATAAAATTACCATATTATACTTATAAAATAAAATATATTTTATTGACAATGAAATATGCACCATCAAACTTGTTGATAACGGTTGGTTTCATTACATTCCTATACAAGATCTTTGCAAACATAGTTTTTTCAGCTTGTGGGTCAGAAATAAATAATGGGCTGTACAATTTGAATTTTATTCCTAATAAAATTAATCAACAACTTATCGCAGCTTTGAGCTTGTATGTAAGAGAGTTTTTAATCGCATAAATTGCATGTTCTCTATTGTCGACAGTTTTTTTAAAAGAATCGCAACCAGGACGCAACTTGCGGAGGAACACGTCTGTAGAAAACGAAAAATTGCAGGAACAATGAGAAAAAGAGAAAGAGAGAGAGAGAGAGAGAGAGAGAGAGAGAGAGAGAGTGAGGGATTTAGCGAAACTAAAAGAAAATGGTCCATGTCCAATTAATCCCCCTCTGAATTACAAATGAATTATGCACAAAATATAACACAAGCAAACAAATGAGTGAGAGCCATTCTTTTTTTAATGATTGTTGTCGCGTTTTTTGATGAACGAATGAAAACCATCTCATATTACTTAATGCATTTGTTGTCCGTTGCACCTACCCGCTTAAAGGTTAGGTTAATTTAAGTCTTTTTTACTACACAGGATTTGTTTATTAATTAAAATTACTTAATTTGCCAATATCGCCATACAACACTATGTATTATGCTTTACTAATACTCACAATGTTGCAAACTAGGCCTCGATGTCTCTTACATTATCAATTTTTGTAATTGACCTTCTTATCACATTTAGTATAATTTCTTGAATGATGTAAATTAAGATTCATAAAAAAAAATAATACTTACACTTTTATCTTTAATTTATCTTCAATAAACCAGTCAGGTAGATTTTAAATCTTTAGAGGATCATAGAGAGTTAAGTTTAATCGACACATTTGAGCTTTATTTTGATTGCATGTTATTTAATATTGAAGTCATAATTTTGAATTTTTCATCTCAATATTTTGTCATTATTTTAAATTGCCCTTAGTTTATCATCATAACTTTAGGCTTTATCAATATTTATTTGAGAAGACATAGAACATAAGTTAAGGTGCCTGGTGAACGAAAAGGCTGTTATTTGTGACTGTCCAGTCTACTGTGATTAGGACACAATCCTTATATCAATTTTTATCCATTATTATTTTATTGTTTTTAATATATATTTTGTAATAATCTTTTCCCTTTCATAAGGAAAGTGTTTGTGGTTTTTTTTCTATTTTTGTTGTGATCAGTAATATTTACTCGATAATTATATCTACTATTCTTTGAAATAAACATTTCTATATAACAATGTAATTTATAAAATTCAAAAGAAAATTTATATCTTTTAAATTAACTTATCAGTCAAAAAATTGTCATGATTCTTACCAAATGGAAAGTTTAATCTCCTCTGAAAGGAAAGGAAATTAACTTAGAATTATACTGAGATAGCGTCCCTCCACCTGCTGAAAATATAAACTCACTTGTGTGAAAAATTTAATGGCAAGCTGTATAACAGTTATTTGACAAGTTATTCACAATAAATAAAATTGTAATTGGAAAGTTTAAGCGCGTACATTGACACGCCACACACATGCACGTGCGACACACACACACGGACACATATTAGTAAGCATAATTATAATAATATTGTGAGAATGATTTCATGACATCGATGAGTCAATTATTAATAAGTACCTGATAACAAAAATATACACTAATGAATATTTTCATTTCTTAAATTACAGTGGACAAAATTCTTTCCATTTGGTGAAAATTCAACAAACAAGAACTCAGTATAATTTTGTATTTATACTTTTAAATTATTAGACTTTTAAATTACAAGTAAAGTTGTATTTTAATTTAAACATAAGGTCTTTATGTATAAGTATAATTATTTAATGAGAGTACTTAATGAAAAATTAAAATTTTTTCAATCGATTTACAATCATTTTAAAATGAATTTTAAATGATAAATTAAAGTATTAGAATTAATTAATTATAGATAAGCAATTAATTTTTTATTATAATATTTATTATTTTCTACACGGTTATTTGAATACCAGTGTTAAACAACTGTGTAACGCAAATTGACGCTCGATCATTTTTTTTTTTTTTTAATTCACTTTTGAAAACAAAGTATTAGGTGAATGCTCTATAAATATAAAACAAAAGGTTAATGTATATAGAAACATTACTATTTTTTATATGGATATAAGGACATAGGCAGTATGAGTACTGGACCTAAGAAAAATTGAGTGAGTGTAAGCAAATACAGAGAGAAAAGGAATGTTGAGAAACTCCATAGGAATATTTCAGAGAGATTTCTCAATTTAAAAACGAAAGCGAATAAAATGTATATTAAGCGAAGAAGTCCATCCGTCCGCAGGTGATTATAGGTCAGTACTGGACTATGCTATGCTGCTATTAGTTACTTTTAACCTTTGAAAATAGCCTGATAATAATGATAACGATGATTATGACGGTGGTGACGATAATGATGATAATTATGATTATAATAATGATTATGACGATGATGAATCATGTTGACGGTGATGACGACGTCTATGATTATGGCGATAATGTTGATAATAATATTATTATGAGAATGACAACTCGACGATCGATATATAAATTTGTAAAACGCGATAAAATAGACAAAAATAAATAAATATCGAGACGTCCTTATGACGATACATACGACGCGTCAGCGGCACGCCATCTACACGCTTTTTCTTCTCGTCGTAAACAGTATAATCTCATTATTTTATGGTGCTCTGTATGTATAAATAAATGATAAGACTTAATTAAGGCTCAAATTGAGTGTGTCGATTTAAGAGATTACACTCTCTCGCCTTTTTTGTCAATAATAATACTTATTTTAGATTAATACTACATAAGAAGGTGTGCTTAGCTTGCCGCTGCGCGCGAACATAATTTTTAACAGAGAAATGAAAATACAAAAACGCAAAAAAGAAGTGAATTTAGCAATTTAAAACGCGTCGGCATCGTGTACTCGATACCGAAAGTACTGCTATTAGGTTCCAAGGTTCGTGCTTTGTTATCGAAAAGTGACGGACAAGCTGTTCCCTAATAAAAGCTTTGAAGAAAAAAAATCGAAAATATAAAAAAAATGTCTTGCCAGTCAATCTCTTGCCATGTTCTAATCAATATATACATATGTATATATGTATATATATATATACATATATATGAATATATATAAATATATATTCGCGTGTGTGCGATGTGTGTGTATATACGTTGCAACGCATACACGCATACATAATTTTTTTATCACTAATCGCCCGGATGAAAATCATAATGATTTACCTTTTATCGCATAGTATGAAGATACGCGCCTTGGTACCTTCTTCATTGCTTCATCCATTTTTGTTTTATTTCTTTTTGTTTGTTTTTTATTTAACATAACCGACTTTACTTGAGTACTCCCACGTTGTAAAATATACTATATGCCTCGTAAAAAATATAATAACAAATATATATCTATGCCAAGGGAGAGATCGAGACAATAAATGTAATCCTGTTACACTGAGACTATTGCGTTTTTCTTTTTATTTATTAAAATACCGAAAACCCGCAGGGTGCTGGCTACCGGACTATTTATACATGACTATCTGCCGGTCTCTATCGGTTTTTTTAACCATTATTTTGTTTGTTCAATCTTTTGTTTTTATTCTTTAATTTCTATCTTAGAGTGCACAGTTTGGCAATTTCCATCTTTACATTTTCCGTGCACAGACAACCAGCGTATTTCGTTCTCTTCATGATCAATAGTTCGAGTTTTTTTTTTGTTTTAAATAAATTTAAATTTAAAAGAAGTGATGCTTTGACGTGAAATAATTTGCCGATTATCCAATTTTTGCTCTTTTAAAAATATTTTACGGCCAATATTAATATGTAAATAAATTAATAGCTCAAAATCAATATAATAAATATTAATTGATAAAGGGGATCTTGAAGTTTTGAAATCTGTGAACAATAAAATTTCTTCTGTAATCTGACTCACGCTTTGTACATATCTGATTATGTGACAAAATTCACAGGTAGTGCGTTATTGGTCTACTTCAAAATTGTTTTCTTCCTGTAACGAAATATTATATCAGAACTTACAATCATTATCTCGGTAACTATAGCGTTTGAATAATTATTTGTTATTTGAAAAAATAGTCCAAAATTTATCGATGAGATGCTTTAAGATTTACAAGCCAATACGAAAATTCATCCTTGTATGTAAAGTACGGTGGCACGTAATAATAGAAATACAAAAGCTGTCTGTGTATGACAAATGGATGTGTTTAAATGTGTAAGTTAATAAACCTTTAAAGAGCATTAAACTCGACAAGTAAAAGGTTCTGGTAGCTGTATATAGTACTGGCCTGTACTGACCTGTAGCACATGGATGCCTGAGAGATTAATTAAAAATAATGACGACGATGATGATTATGATGATGATAATGATTATGATGATGATGATGATAATGATGATGATGATAATGATAATGATGACGACGATAATTATGATGATGATTATGATGACGATGACGATGACGACGACAATAGTTATAATAATTATAATAATAAACAGTAAAATATCAAAAAACTATTGCGGACTGTTTGCGAAGTAAGAAATCTTGTCGATCATAAATGAAAAAAAAATTTCCTTCTTCATTCGATGATTACTTGTTTTTGCTTAACACCTTAAATTTTAATATTCGCGGGATGTGTGTATGTATGTTCGCGGGGGCGGGGGGGAGGGCAGACGAAAGAGAGAGAGAGAGAGAGAGAGAGAGAGTGTGAAAGAGGTTGCAAAGCAAAAATTTTTCTATTATTTCTTTTTTTTCTTTTTTTTTTGTTCTCAAAAAAACGAATTGTTTTCTCAAACATTTTACTACAAAGTTCATTTCGACGTCCATGTGTTGTGGGTCAGAGCACCCTGATTCAGAAATATTGTCATTTTTTTCACATCCCAATGAATCCTTGTTCTTTCTTCATCCACACAAAAATCGCACACGTGTTTTGCGTCTCCTTTCGAGCCCCGCCAAAGCACAGCCGCCACCACATCGTATATGCATGTATAAAGTACGTGTATATACGTAGGTGGTGTGTATATTATTGAACTGGTGTTGGAACGGGATTCGAATAACAAATGCCACTAAGCAGAAGAATATTCACGCCAAAATGAATCGAAATTTTAGTTTGTCGTATATACGTATCTCTGTACTGTAATCCCCTATTATTGTTTTCGTTCATAGATATAGTAATTTGGATTTAATTTTGAATGCCTATTCTTAAATAAGTATTTTAATTTAGTTTGTAGAAAAATATATTTACTTTACATATTTTTTAAGATTCATTTTTAAATTTATGCTAACGAAAGTATTTAATTACCAATTTTTTCTTTAAAAAATAATTTACTCTTTACTGTAAATATTTCTTTTGTAGTGTTTAATTAAAGGAAATATTTATTGACTGAGCAATATTTATTAACACATTTATTCTTCATTCCAATCTTAATTTATTAATAATACAGGTAAGATCGGTAAAAAAATAAAATAAACTTATGATAATTGTTCATTTGGTAATTGCGGATTTGCACAGTAAAATTATTAATTTGAAAGAGTTATTATTAGTGAATAGAAGCTTTTTTTATTTCATGCTTTTAATAGTAAGTAGTATTAGGAATTAATCGACTGTGGATTATCGAGTTCCTCTTCCAACACCATTATAATCC